GAACCCTTGAACGGAGCGGTTGTATTCGGACCCTAAGTATTTGGTGTGAGGAGAGATTTGGGCAAAGCCCATTATTACCGTCTCTTTTGAGGCCTTGCGGTTGGCACTACGTGATATATAACCGTTGGTAGCCATCCGAGGTTAGTTCTGCAACAAAGTAGCAAAAGAGGGGGCATACCGAATAATCCGTGTCCGATTCTTGTGATTGGGAGGACGAAATCTCTTTGGGGGATTTCTAGTTTACTAACATCTAACCTTGTAACCCTTTATTTATTTAGTTGAGTATCATGCTTTATTACTTGCTGTCATATTTGTGATTGTGTATTGGACTGGGAAAAAGAGACGGGGTGTGCGTGCATTTACTGGGCATTCAAAGCTCACGACGTATCATGCCAGGTGCCGAAGAGGAGCTTATAGCTCATTATTACCGTCTCTTTTGAGGCCTTGCGGTTGGCGCTACGTGATATATAACCGTTGGTAGGCATCCGAAGTTAGTTCTGCAACAAAGTAGCAAAAGAGGGGGCATACCGAATAATCCGTGTCCGATTCTTGTGATTGGGAGAACGAAATCTCTTTGGGGGATTTCTAGTTTACTAACATCTAACCTTGTAACCCTTTATTTATTTAGTTGAGTATCATGCTTTATTACTTGCTGTCATATTTGTGATTGTGTATTGGACTGGGAAAAAGAGACGGGGTGTGTGTGCATTTACTGGGCATTCAAAGCTCACGACGTATCATGCCAGGTGCCGAAGAGGAGCTTATAGCTGGAGACGACAAGCCCGAAACCTTCGAAGACTTTTGGCTATCTTAGAAAAGTTAGAAATTTCCCTTTTGATATTTTGTAAGGCTCGTATGAAGATTTAATTTTTCTTCTGGGATGTAATGTAATGGAACAAGCTTTTGAAATTAAGAATATTCGTGGTTGTTATGTGCTTATATTCTAATATATACATATATATAAATCATATCGTTGCTTATGAGACCTTGTGTCAATACCTTTTAAGATCTGTCAAAAGGGTGCCTAAGAAAGCTAGACTTAGAAGGGAGGCTAATTTGACTCCTCCGGCGATCTGGGATCTTACTTGGTTATTGACCATAGGACTTATTAGTGACTTTCCCTTGACTGCAACCAATAGTGTAGATTCAGGGCATCATATAATCTACACAATTCATGATATAAACTCTCACAGATATCAAAGGAAATAAGCAATGAAGCTCTAGATGAAAACCCTAATACCCAAAAAGAAGATTTGGAAGCCGTATCCTAGAAACTGAATTAATCGCAGATTTATAGAAAACAAAATTGCGATCTCTGCTTGAGCGCAGGAATGAACGCTCGAGCGGTCTGACTAAAACGCGTGCTTCAAAACAAGGATTTACGCTTGAGTACAGGAAAGGCCGCTCGAGCATAAAAATACAACTCCTAATACTTTTGTAGGCGAGTGAAACTTCTTAAACGATTACGGCCTTGTTTGATTTGGCTTTGGGAAAAAGATTTTGGAGAAAATTTTTGGAAATTTTGTTTGGTTTGTAATTTTTCTCAAAAAATTTTCAAAATCACTTTCTCTCTCTTACACATCAATTAATCACTTTTTCTCTCTCCTGTCTCCTTTTCAATCACTTTTTCTCTCACATACATCTACTCAATTACAACAAAATATCAAATCATCCCAAACTCCTAAACTCCAAAACTATTTTCAAAATACACCACCAAATAAACTACAAAAATTTCTAAACTTTCTCTCCAAAATATGTTTTGAAAACTCATCTCCCAAAATCAAACTAAACAAAGCCGTGCTCAAGTGCACAATCGACCGCTTGAGCGATCAAACAACTTCGACTGCAATTTTGTTTTTTGCCAACATAGTCTGCGAAGTGGCAAACATGAAAGGATAAAAATCACAAACTCCTCTATATAGGCATAATTCAGATTGGATTCACATCTAAATACTCATAGTCTCATTAAAATAAAAGATCGAATAAAATTATAACTGAAAAAAGTTATATCAAACGAAATTACTAATTACAAAAACCTAAGAAGACCCATTTTAATTTTACTTTAAAATTATCATAAAATTTTTTTTCCCCCAACATGGATGTCAGAGCATTCTCCACACCGATACCACAGTTGGGAAGTCTTTAACGGTCTCTTATTTTTGTAGATCTCAAGAAAACCACAAATTCATCTTGCTCTCAATCAATACGAGGCAAATCCGCCATCAACATATGGTGTAAACTTAAATTTAATTTGACGTGAGTTACACAAAAAATAAAATTAGTCCATACATTTTATTTTCAAAATATTTTTTGAGGTGCCTAACATAATTATAATAATTTTAAAAACAGTAAAATTAAACACAAAATTAAACATAAAAAATTTATAGACGAATATAATTGTTGAGAAGAGGGCTTCACCAAAATTGCAAAATTTTACCTATTAATAATGTATTTCTGTGTCTTATATTCTCGAGAAATTTTTATATGTCAATAGAATATTACGAACCACTACCTTTCACTAATCACAAATATATATATTTTACATTATTCTTTAAACATCTAACATAAATATAATAGACTTTACTATTAAAATTAATTATAATAATAAAAAATATCACATAATATACATCCTATCCATGTACAAAAATTAGTTCATATTCTGTCTTTTACGTTATATGTTGTTAGCATTATTGCTAACATTAGTGATAAGGGCCACCAACTTTGTTGTTTTGTGCTTACATATATTTCAAAAAAGTGTTGCCTGCATGGATGCGATATGTTACCATACAATGAAACTGACCACTCGAGGGAGAGAATAGATGGTCCACAAAAAAAAAAAAAAAAAAAAAAAAAAAAAAAACGCAAAAACGACAAATACAAGTGTGTTTGGTTTGCTTTTTTGAGGGAGTAATTTTCAAAAAAAAATTTGAGGGGAAGAGTTTAATTTTTTTTTTAGTTTGTTTGGTTGTATATTTTGAAAATAATTTTGGAGTTTGAGAGCTTGAGATGATTTGATATTTTGTTATAATTGAGTAGATGTGTGTGAGAGAAAAAGTGATTGATTGATGTATAAAAGAGAGAAAAAATGATTGATTGATGTGTAAGAGAGAGGAAGTAATTTTAAATTTTTTTTGAGAAAAATCATAAATCAAATAAAATTTTGAATTTTTTTTTTCAAATTCAACTCTCTCAAAAATAAATCAAACGAGGCAATCTTCTTCCATGAAAAAGAGGGCTCCTTTTCATATATGTAAATATATGTGTGAAGTAGTATTAAAGAGAATCCATTTTCGCATATTGGTTTCCTTTGTGGATGTTATTTTACGAATTAACTTTTCTATTCTTTTCTATTTCCTATTTTTAAAATAAATAGTTTAAATGTTCAATTTTAGTTGCACTACAGTATATAAAATTTTTGAGAATTGAACTTTTTTATTTTCAAAAATAAAAATAGAATTAGAAAAATTGGGACATCAATTCTAGTCGTCATTAAAAGGTCATAATGAGAGAATACTTGTTTACATGATATATTATTAATTGTGGATTTGTCGATTCATATCATGAAATGAATCATCTGTAAAGAGTAATTATGGTCACATTTACTAGTTATTTTTATTTTATTTTTATTATAGGACATGTGCCACTCTTTTATTTAAGTAGAAGGTATGGAAGTTGTGCAACTTGAGGGATGTATCACAAGACAAGTGGCAGTCCAAAAATGAAAATGAAGGTTTTTGGAAGTTGTAGGTGTTTAATGGTGGCTATTTCCTACACAATTTATAAATGAGTAATGTTGAATAAATAAATAAAAAATTCATACATAATTATGTAGCTCATTATAAATCATTCAATTCAAAATATAACATCATTAAAGATGCATTTATTTATAATAATAGTATTACCACATTATTCTTATGATATTTTTTATATAAATTTTATGTATGAATATAATTCTTCTTTATAAATATCTTTCATGGCTAATGTAAACAACATCATCAAACTCATTCACAATACTTGTGAAATTAACAGTATTTGTAGTAGTTAATAATGATATTTTATTTTGAAGCGAATGGTTTACAATAAGCCATATAATTATGTATGAAAATTATGTATAATTTTTTTTTTTAATTTAGAGATGGTTTTGAATGGACCTCAGGCTGGGGCCTTGGCAAATGGGCCCATCGATGAGCCTTCAAACCTAAGTCGCTGTGTAGCCCAAACTCAGTCAAGGCCACTTGATCTACATCCAGTCCAAGAAAGATTGCTAGTAAAGGGCAACCCATCAAGAAAGGGGAAGATTACTAAAACAGAGATGAGCAGAAGCAAAAAGAAAGGAGCTGATCTGAGGACTGGGGCTAAGCATAGTCGAAAAAAGGCTATGCAAAAATCAAGGAGTGACACAGGGGAGTTGGTTTCAGATGCAGAGTTATGTCTTGGCTTTGGGTGTGATTCTGTTTGTTCTTTTTACCTGCTGCTGTAATGTTGCCTTGCTGATGTATTGTTGTTGTTTTTTTTCTTTCCTTGGTTGCTCTTGATTGGTCTCTCACCAATCTTGGATTGGATCAAGTGCTAAGACATGATTGCGCTTCTTTTGCGGTGTCAACCTTGTTGGGATTGTTGATGTTAGTTATGATGCTCAGTGCACTTTCTTACTTTGTTAATGTAAGTCTTGCATGTATCTTGCTTTTTTCATCAATAAAGTTTTATTTTTGTTGATAAAAAAAGAAAAAGAAAAAGAAAAAAAGAGTAGTTCATCTTGTGATTCAATAGTTTGTAATCTTATTCTTGTTTATGATTTATGTAATTCTGTGACAAAGTTCAATTTTAATTCTCAATTCCAGTTTAATTTGTGTTTGTTGCTTCTATCAATCACCTCTAAAGAAGTCATCGAATTTTATTAAGGTATAGGGCTTAACCACATTGTCTGATCTTTTATGTAGTTTGTGTAAGTTTTTGGTTATCTGTTGATTGGCACTTGTTGATCTTCCCCAAACCAGAAATTTACTAGCAATGCTACAATTATTTTATGATTTGCTATTTTATAAGAACAAAGATATAGTGATATCAAATACATGATGGGTGAAATCTCTTTAAGATTAAGCCAGTGCTGAGATAGTTGATGGGTTGGAATCTTCACACCCTTGCTTTTGTACAATCTCACCCATTTCAATTAAGATTAAAGCTCAAAGAGTGTTTTGCTCCATTTTGCATCTACAATCACTAGGGTTTGAAGAAGTGCACTTCAATCCCTAAGGCCACTATAGTCCATATTGCTCCAAAAACCAACAAAATGCTGAGTATCACCCCCAAACAACCTAGTGCGCAGTTGAGACACCACATAGTCCCATATTTTTGGGGTTTCTTGATTATTATCCACATGAAACAAGGGTAGGCGGCGGTGACTGGTAACGCAATCCCTCCTATCAACCCTGCCAAGCTTGGCAAGAATGGGAGTGCCACAGCTATGAAGAATGCTAGGCATCCAAAGAAGACTCTAAACCCTCTTCGCAACCACCATGGACATGGTCTATTCATGTTGCTAGTATATCTAAACTCTAAGTTGTCGAAAACCGGCATTGCATATATCTGGAATGAGGTCAGGCTGTTAACCACAACTAGTACGCTTGCGAACCCAAGAATAATCTTCGATGTGTCGTGCCCATGGTATTTGTACAATGCCTTTAACATCCCTCCATTTGATATCTGGCATCACAAAACCACAATCGTGTTAGCTTGATCAACAACTACCCCATCTTCATCTGAATAATTATAATTATTAAATTTATGATCAAGGTCTGATCAATTAATTTACATCAATTAAAATGTTCAGAATATAGTGCGGTAATACTGCATTCATTTTGATAAAGCGTGATTCCCATTTAAAATCCATCAGTATAGTGTTGTTAGCACAATAATTCTGAACTTTTATGGTGTGTTTGATTGGGGGATTTGGGGAGGGATTTGGAAAGGGAAAGGGAAAAGGTGTGTGAAACTATATGAAATATATACATATTTTATTCACATTTCACCTACCTTTTCTATTTCCCTCTCCAAATTCATTTCCAAATCCCTCAACCAAACACAGCATTACAGATAATGGTTATGAACTTGTATTATTTTCTAATTTTTATTGTCTTTGTTGTTGTGCAAAGTGTGAAGATTAGAGAACACAAAAATCATTATGGTGATTACCAAATTTCCATAAGCCCAATATCCTCCAATTGCCACTGGAAACAAACACAATGCGATTATTAGATATGAGAATTTTACTCCTTTCCACATTGGCAGGCGTGATGGATGCTTTAGACTCGATGGCATTGTGCCCTACAATATAACATTCACAAAAAAAAAAAAAATAATATCAAAATAAGATTTACAAAACATTTCAAACTTAAGAAGATAAACACATAATAACTATAATAATGTAGTATAGATGATAATGACCACCACTTCACTGTGATTAGCGTTTCTTATAATAAAAATAATAACTTTAAATAATTTAAATTATTATTATTATTATTAATTTTTTAGAATGCTTGAGACCCACCAAGGCACTAACCTGAATTTCAAGAACAAGATTGTGGCCTCTGAAAGCGAAGGCAATCATTCCAAGTGCATCGAGAGTAGTGTAGAGCTTAGCCCCATCAGATTCTGCCACCTGTGATGGGCCGTATGAGAAGCCAATGGGCCTACCTTTGACTACGGAGAGGGTCCATATGAGTGTACAGTAAGCAACGGCTGTAATTGCACCGATGAGAGAAACTCCAGCGATGGAATTGAGGTTGGGAAGCTGTGCTAAAATGACCGCCGAGGTAGTGAATACTATGTACCACTCGACAGTTGTCAGCGAATTAGCGTTGCATGATGATCCGGTGGACCCACACACGATCTGGAATAAAATCTTCATGGTTCCGCCGCCAATCATGATTAGAGCAACGCAAGTTCCACCTGATAGATACATGGTGGGAAATAGCACCACCAACTTCCCTATCTTCTTACCTTCACAAGAGTACCAATGTCAATTACTTTTTGGTAAATATAAAAGGCTTACAAAATCCGAATCTCTCTCTATACGTGTCATTTTTCTGTACCTTTAATTTTATGTTGTTAATGAAAATTTTTTTTACTATCAAAAAATAAAATAAAAAAAATAAAAATAAATAAATAAAAAGCTTACAAAATGCTTTTTTTGAAGAAATATTCAAAAATGCTTGTATTCTTTTTATTAAAAAAAATAATAATAATTACAAAATTACACATTAGAATAACATAGTAGTGGTTTTTTCACAAGAGATGCAAAATTTAAAAAAAAATTAAAATTTCTTCTCTTTTCTCTTTATATTTTTTTCTATCCATTATATCTTTAATAAATTTAATATCTAAATACAACCCTAGAAAAATTGAAAATAACAAAATTATGTTGCTGGATGTATTTTTGCTTACTTTTTTACATATATTTGTACGACAAATGCTAAACAGATTATAAAAAGTACTAGTGTTCAATGCAATTTTGTGGACCAAATTTACAACAGTATTAAATATTTAAATATAAGTATCTCGAAAAGAAATGTGAGGATCAGATTTATTATCATGCTTGATTCATGAACACTTCCATATCATCAAATATAATTTGGTGATACTACACATTATTGATCATTTTGTAATTAGGAGTTAAAAATGCTATATGTGTTCATGCACATTAGAATGATGATGATGTATTAAACCCACACGAGATTGAGATTAGTGTTATAATTACCAAAAGCAGCCATAGAAAGCTGGATATTCAAAAATGCTTGTATTCTTTTTATTAAAAAAAATAATAATAATTACAAAATTACACATTAGAATAACATAGTAGTGGTTTTTTCACAAGAGATGCAAGATTTTTAAAAAAAATAAAATTTCTTCTCTTTTCTCTTTATATTTTTTTCTATCCATTATATCTTAATAAATTAATATCTAAATACAACCCTACAAAAATTGAAAATAACAAAATTATGTTGCTGGATGTATTTTTGCTTACTTTTTCACATATATTTGTACGACAAATGCTAAACAGATTATAAAAAGTACTAGTGTTTAGTGTTCAATGCAATTTTGTGGACCAAATTTAGAACAGTATTACATATTTAAATATAAGTATCTCGAAAAGAAATGTGAGGATCAGATTTATTATCATGCTTGATTCATGAACACTTCCATATCATCAAATATAATTTGGTGATACTACACATTATTGATCATTTTGTAATTAGGAGTTAAAAATGCTATATGTGTTCATGCACATTAGAATGATGATGATGTATTAAACCCACACGAGATTGAGATTAGTGTTATAATTACCAAAAGCAGCCATAGAAAGCTGGAGGTATCTGCTGTAGCGAGTCCCAGGGACAGACTCGTGAAGTTGGATGAGTAACCACAGGGTATAGAGTTGCCACACAAAAGCCACTGATAGGCATATGATCCCCCAAGTCCTGCAATTCAATTTTGGCTATTAAAACAAGCAAAACTCAAATTGGAGTGTTCTTTGAAGCTACTTTAGTCCAGTCATATATTCATTGATTAAAATGGACAAGTTCACTCATATTTGAGAAAAGTTAATTAGCCACAACTTATTTGAAAATTTTGATTAAGAGATCTACCATTTATCAAACGAATTTTAGACCATGTTTAAATTATTAATTTAAATAAAAATTTGAAATAAAAAGAGTAAGAAGTTGGTGAAATGTAAATATAATAATAATATTTCATTTTTCACTTATTTTTTTCCTTTCCCTTTCTAAATCTACCAAAATCTATGATTCTAATTTCAAACACAATCTTAATGTTATTTTCACTCAATCATGACGTGCGAGCGCGTGCGCGCGCGCACACACACAAAAAAAAAGGCAAAAAAGGGAAGAAAAAAAAAATGTGACGTCCAAGTTTATTCTTGGTTACACATCAATTTTTTTTTGGGTGCAAAATTTTTATGATTTTTTTTAACAGGTTGTATATCTGGTATATAAAGATAGTCAGTGTAGCATTATTGACAAGAAAAAGTTTGACAACAAATGAAAATGAAAATTTAATATAGTTTGAATCATACTCCAAATGAATTTGATTCACACATTTCATTTTCTGCTCAATCGTAGTAAGCATTGTCGATGTATATAATATGTATAAGCTTACCAGCCAAGTGCAGTGAAAGCCAAGGGAAGCAAAAGAGCTTGAACTCCGATGCCAGAGTTGAGGCTGTGGAAAGCAGCATAGTATGCATTTCCATTCCTCGACTCTGTGATCGGAAGCCATGACTCCTGTGGATTGAGCTTCGTCAGATTTCCCACTTCTTCCAAGTACCCTTGCATCGTCGAAAAGGCCTTCTTCATGGGACTTGCCATCGGAGTCATCATCCGAACCAGTGGACTTTTCGGAGTCTTTGGAATGATGGAATCGAGGAGAGGGGATCGAGTCAGCGATGGCGAATGCAGCTGGAACGGCGGCGCTGAGATTACCGGAGTTTTAGTCTCCGGCAGTGGGATTGAGTTCACTTCTACCACCACATCCATGACTGTGAAAACCTAATTCTCTGATAGAAGAGAGTAGGTTTGTGACTGTGTTTTTTATTTTGATTCAAGGTTTGTGACTGTGTTTGATTGTAATTTTGTGTACCTGGAAAAAGCCTTCGTTGATTGCAGGTGGTTTTGGTTTCGAACGGAGGAGTAGATATATATAGATGTTTTTTCAATAGGGAAAGTTAAAAAGTTGTAGATGCATAGAATTAGGACCAAAAAAGTAGATATATTATAGTAATTGGATTTCATTAATTTTTTTAATAATAATTATCTCTAGTTTCTATGTAAAAAGTGGCATACGGTAGTAATAAAAACAGTAACAATGAGCTCTAAATCTACTATTAGCGAGTCGAAAAAAAAAAAAAAAAAAAAAAAAAAAAAAACAACTACTGTAATATTGGGTGGGATTCACTGTGATATCAATAATGGTACCTCTAATTAGTAGTCTCAAGTATTATTGTAATAAAAAATTAGTGACTTATATCATTCTTCTAAAAAATATAGAGAAAATTGTTAAAAAATTTAAAGTATGAAGGTTAAAAGATATTAGATCTAGTTGATATTTTTTATTAGTGAAATGTCTACTCTTTGTGAAATAGTTTTATGAGAAGTCCTTTTGTTAGTTTTAGAGGACAATTTGTTTTCAATTTTACCCCTTAATTTATCTGTTAACTTTTTTTATCTATTGACTTTCATTGACTATTTGTTCAAATTTTTTCCCTTATCTGTTCAAATATTTGTCCAAATTTTATTTTTGTTCAATTTTTTCAATTATCTGTTTAAAACTATCTGTTCAATTTTCTATTTGTTTAATTTTTTTTATCTATTTAATTTTTTTATCTGTTCAAATTTTAAACATATTTTATTATCTATTCAAATCTTTCTTTTCTCTTTAATATATATCTCTCTCTTATCCTTATCTGTTCAATGCAAAAACAAAAAATTATCTGTTTGATTTTGATCATCATAATCAACAATAACAACAACAATACCAAATCAATAACAACAATCAACAACTAAAAAAAAAAAAAGGCACATCAGTTTCAAAATAGTTATTTAGGGACAGAGTTATGTTTGGATTGCCTTCACACTCTCGTTATCTGAAATGCAAACGTAAACGCAAATGCAAACACAAGCACAAACACAAACGCAAACTCAAACGCAAATGCAAACAGATCAACCACTTGCTAAACAAGGTAAACATTGAACATCAATCCTAACTCTTCGCTATACATACATATATATATATACAAATACACACAGAGAGAGAGAGAGAGAAAGAGAGCTCGATTTATTAATAGTTCTAGTAAAAAATGGAGAGTCCTATGTGTTATGAGTCAGATCTAGTAAAAAATTATCTAAATGTTCAGATAAGAGAGCCAAAATCAACAAAATTTCATAAACTTGTTCACTTCAACCTTCACAAATTAATTCTGATCCATATTAACATATATCAAACAAGAAAAAAGAATCATACAACAACGTATAATTTCAAAGATTCAACAAGAAAAGCTAGCGAGAAGTGACAAAAGAAGTGAAAAATAAATAAATAAATAATAATAATAATAATAATAATAATAATAATAATAATAATAATAATAATAATAATAATAATAATAATAATAGCCTCTTGCTCGGGGAGAGGTTTGCACTGTATAAGCTAAGAAATATGCTTGTTGAGGTTTCCATGAGTGCTCGAACGGACCAGATCGAAGCTCATTTTTTCCTCATTCTCCGCATTCAATGTGTCAAATCTATCACAGATATGAGAAGATGAGTGATTTTGCGCTCTCTCTCTTTCTCTCTCTCTCTCTCTCTTTAATAAATTAGTTGAAGAAGAGCTGCCAAAAATGGCGCTTTATCTGTGAAAAAGCTGCTGATGAAGGACTGACACAGCAATGTCGAAGGATCGACCTGCCATCTTCTTCATCTTTTAGGGTTTAACTAGGAGGAGGTTGATGACGGTGGCTTACTTAGATCTAAACCAGGAGAAGGTCTTGCTGACGATAGAGGACAACGGTGGCGAAGATGGTAAGGGTATAGGACTCATTGACGCCGTAGTGGAGTGGCGCTGTGAGGTTGGCGACGATGATTGTTAGGGTTTGCAACGGTGGAGATAGGGTAGGGTTACTGGTGGAGGGGATAAAAGGGCGGTAAAGCTCAGTGAATAGTTGAGGACAGATCGAAATGAGCCACAAAGAGAGACTACTCATTTATCAACTTTTAGAGAGAGAAAACGATGAAGAGAGAATGAAGGAGAGTGTTTAGGGTTTGGTTTAGCAAAACAAATATATATATATATATATATACGTGGGTAGTTTGGATTTTGGACTTTTTGCTCGAGCACCCAATAATATATGACATTACTGAAATTTATTTTGAATTGGGTTAATTGGAGAAAAGTCCAATTTAAAGAGGGTGTAAGGTATTAGATCCAGAGGAAAATCGTTTTTAGTGATAAGAATATTTTTTGTCTAAATAAAATTTTATTTACCCGATAATTTATTTACCGAAACGAATAAGTACAAAATTGATCAAGTCGAGTGTGTAACACTTTATCATTAAGACATATTCGCCTCGCTTCGGTGCTTACGGATAAATGGTATCTATCTCCTAGGATACAATGATGTTCACAGATTGTAGTAGTAGTCCAAACAATCTGTACGGCAAACTAGAACCTGTGTTCTATACTCTCAGAATTTTTCCTAAAACTAATATAAAGAGTAACAATGCAAGAGAGCAAAATTAGAAAGCAACCAGCGAATTTTCAAAATCAATCAATTGCTGGAAAGGGTCTGCTTTTATAGGCTAATTGGTGCCTTTACTGAATATATATAATTCAAATTGAACAGGTGCAAATTTGTTTGAAACCAATTTTGAATATGTTGGAAATTGCTGGGCAGTTTTAAATCTGTCTGGGAAGAATTGAATCTGTTCGGTGCAAAATAAGTTGAAAAACCTGTTTGAATTTGCTTGGATTGGTTTGGAAAAGAAATATTGGTTGAGAGCAAAAAATTTGAATTCAAATTAAGAATTTTTGGAAAAAATTAATAGTATGACTGACCTGACCTGTCTCAACATGGCTCGGTCGGACAGACGGACGACAGCAGCACGCGTATGTGTGGTGATTTGAGCTAGTGCTCACTTTATCCATAACTCCTCCCTTCTATAAACTTGGGATGCCCCTTAGGGCCCAACCTAAGTTTGTCCACCTAGAGCTTATATACTCACAAAATCTCTTTCAAGTTTCAATGTGAGACAATCCATTTCAAGGAAATCCATATTTTACTTCTTTAATTGTCCATTCCACGAATACGAAAATGATATCAACTTCCCATTTACTCAAATGGTTTTTTACGAACCGTTTTCACTGTGTGACTTGTCATGCGGCAATGAACACATCACTTCTTTGGACCCACCCCAAAAGATGTGTAGGCCCCACTCAAATTTGGGCTTAAAATTGGCTCAAAATAAGCATATAAAAACCATAATTCCAATAGTTTTGACCTGCCTAAATCTGTCCATACTCGCACATTTCCCACCTCTAATTTATTCATAAAAAGTGTCTTAGTTTGGTTTGATTTAAAAAATATATATTATCTAATGATTGAATGTATATTGAGATAAAGCATCATAGATTGGTTTGATTTAAAAATATATGGCGAATTACACTAACAGTCCTTGTGATTTGTATAGCGATCTGGGTTTTTCCCCGTCATTTATTGTATTCCGGACTCGGGTTTCTTGGTTGTATGTTGTTGTCTATATCTTGTTTCCATCCTTTAATTCTTTGTATTTGAGTTGTGGATGTGTTGGGTAAGTTTGGAACAGGTTGGTTGTGAGTTGGAACAAAAGGTTGCTTCCCAGGATTTGGTTTCTTCGCTCGAGCGAGACTTTTTGCGCTCGAACGAGCCTTGGGTATTTGCTTCTTCGCTCGAGCGAGGCTTCTTGCGCTCGAGAAAGTTTTGTGTGGTGTGTCTCTTGCTCTCGAGCATGCGTCTACGTCTATGTAAGACCTGAATGTTGGTATTCTTCACTCGAGCAAGCTTTCTTGCGCTCGAGCGAGATTTGTGTTATTGATTCCTTCGCTCAAGCGAGAACCCTTGTGCTCGAGCGTGCTTCTGCGTTATAGACCTGAAGCTCTGCATTGTTCACTCAAGCGACGCTTCTTGCGCTTGAGCGAGGTTCTTTTGTGTCCAGTCGCTCGAGCGGCAACTCCTTCGCTCGAGCGAGCCCTGTATATATCAGTTTGTAGCAGCGTGATTTTTATCACTTTTTCATCTCCTTTTTCACTCCAAACCCTAAATCCGGCTGCCTCTTTCTCTAAACTCTCTCGTTCTCTCTACAAATACACCATGTTCTAGAGGTTTTCTACCCTACTTCCTTTGTAAAAAAGATAGAGCTTGGTGAGGGCTTCCCTTTGATCTGAAAAAGTGTGGATTTGGAGCATCTGGAGTTTCTATCTTCTTCTCCTTTGAGCTTCTCCATTTGAGGTAGGGATAATCTACTCATTAATATGAGCTTTGACATAAATGTTAGTCATTTTGTATAAAATGGTGGGATCTGAGAATTTTGGGTAAAGTTAGGGTTTGAGTTTGAATGTTTAAAAGAAGGGTTTCTTATTGTTGGGTTCCATTTGTATGTGAGGTCTTGAAAATGGGGTTGTTTGTGTGTAATGGGTGAGATTTGACCTTGGGAGCAATATTTGAGAAAAGAGGGAAAATGCCCTAATTTAAATTATAAAAATTATTTGCATAAATAATGAAAATGATGTGGAGATATGAAATTGGTTTGAAAATCATGAAATTGGAGGAAATTGTGATTAAATGGTGTAGTTGGATTGATGAATCATTCACCTATGGAAAATGTGATATATTAACTGTTGAGAAATTTATTTATCTGTTTAGATATATTTGTTTTGAGCTATCAGTGGAGGATAGCCATGATTGTTATAGAAACTGCATGATGATTAGGTAAATTGAAACTAATCAATTGGGTTATGTTATTGAATATGACGATTGAATATAAACATTGTATACGTGATTGAATCGGTCATTGCATATGACAACATGTTTAAATACATTGTATATGTATCTTTGTTTGGGAGGAGATAGGAGATAGACTCCATTATCAATTAAGTTG